GACTTACTAAATAACTAACTAGGCACATACCTTTATTCGAATTTCCTAACCAAAACTAAAGTCCTAATATGTTAAAGTAATCGGCCTTGCTTGCGCCGCACTCCTTCCAAAAGTCTTGCCCTAGTCGTCTGCTATTCCTCATCTTCCGAGGTATGGCGCATACCCGCGCCCGTCTCTCCCCACGTGTCGCCCATCGCACCCGAAGCGTGCTCATCCCCTCGCGTATCGCTCTGCCCGCGATTGAACGACACGCTAGCCTCCACCCGTGTACTCGCTCGCAGATTGCATCTCACGCCCTTGCTAACCTAGGCCCGTCCATTCTAGCTGCTAGCCAACCATCGCGATGTGCCGGAACCTTCTGTCGTTCACTCATCGTTGACCCACCTCATTTCCTCACGCGAACATTCCTCCGCGCAATTCTGCTTCATGCATCCCCTTTCCGCACGCCTCGCCACCCGGATAACGCCTATCGCTGGCCTACGCATTGCGAGATCACAATGTGTGCGGCCTTTCACGCGTCCTTGAACTCTTTTCTCATGACCCCGTGAGTCGTCCCGTCCGTTCACGCGCCCACTACCTTGGCTATCTTGCGCCGTGTCCTCGGGCTCGGAAGGGTCGATTACCACATCTTTATCATTCCCACCCTCTTCGATTGTCCTCAAGGATAATGAACTCATGGTTTTCATGTTCGACATGCTCGATTCCTTCATCACTAGATTGTAATTTGACCCGCTTCTTAGCTCTCTCAAACTCCATGGACTCTCTCTTATAGTCGGTAGTCATGGGCCCTAACGTTTCTAACCATTGGACCCCCAAACCACATCGGGCCCCGACAATGGTAGTGCGTAAAGGTCGATCTTCAAGTCTTCACCTTCCACGTGCACGGGTACCCCTTTAAACAACATGGAACTCGTAAGTACCTCAATGTTCGCAACCTTTACCCTGAATGGCACGACACCGGTCAAAGGTATTTTCAACACGCAGGCAAGTCCTCGTTTATGAAAATAAGGGTCGACCCACTATAAAACAACACCTCAACCTTTTGACCCAATATGTCCGCAGTGAAATGCATCATCTTAGGTCCTCGCCTACCGCGCATCATATGTATCATTGTCTCACCTCGCAACTCGTACGTGTACTCACCTTGTTCACGCTCTTCGTTGGTTTTGAACTCGTGTAGATAGATTTGTTTTCCCGTACATCGATGGTCGAGTGTGAACCGTTCATTGCACATGAAATAAAGTCTTTTCTCGCGTCGTCTTTGCATCTCATCAGGCGTTAGTCGTCGTACGTAACTCGTCGTCCCCATGGTTTCGGTCTTTGATGGGGGTTTGTCTATCGTGCTCGTGCGACGTGGATCCTTGCGCTCGTCTCCGCAGTTTTCCTTGCGTACCACTACTAGATGAACCTCGTGCATGCAGGCGACTCCATTGCAGTTTGCATCATCTGTGGCATATCGAGTCGAACCTCGGCAATGAGTTCAGCCTTGACTCCCAATAAATTCACCTACAAGCACGCTCTCGGGCCAATCGCGTATAGGACTAGCGATGTGCTCGAACTCCATTTGGTACTCCTGGAATCTACCACTTTGACGTATGCGGGATAAGGCCTCATCATAGTCATAGTAATCTCTTGATCCAAAGCGTGATGAGCCTTTTTTTGAAATCCCTCCAACATATGTGCTCGCCCTTGTTCTTATATACGTGTGACATCCATTGCCACCATATATTCGCATCACCGTCCAAGTAGTAGGCCGCGAACTTGACCTTTTTAGCCTTCAGCACGTCATTGATATCGAAATATTGTGAGGCCCGACTTAGCCACGCATCCGGGTATGGTTCCCATGAACGTAAGCAGCGTGAGCTTTGGCTACTCGAACCTTCTTTCCTCGCATCGATTTGACACTATTGAAGCCTTCGACCTTCGATCGTGGCCCTCCTGGTCAGATTCTGAGCTACTCTATTTAACTGATATCGAGCTCGACTTGTGTCTCCTTTGCGGTCGTCGCGTGATCTGCACGAGCTGAGCGGCTAGGTCGTGCACCATTAACTTAAGTTTGGCCATATTCTCGTTTGTGGTGTGTTGACCATCGCCAATGGACTTCAAGGTCTCCTCTAACATCCCAAACCTCTCACGATTCGTCATGTTTATTTTATTTTATTTTTGTTTTGGTATACGAACTACAAAAAGAACAAAAAGAATGAGGGAGATAATGATGAAAAAGATGCACGATCGACCCTCTCAATTAGAGCACCAATGATGAAGATCGTGTATCCCCTCAACTCGATTTGCGTCGAAAGTTGCTTTGCCATGGCTTCTTCTTGGCGATAGGTGTGGACGAATCGGATTGCTCCTTATCTTCTCACGGATTCGAGATAGCTCGGGTGTTAATCCTTGCCAAACTCAAAGTTTTATGACAAAACTCTCATGAATTCTAATCACAAGATAATGGTGAACAAACGTTCGATTTTTTTTATTAACTCTTCAATCATAAAATTTGAATGGAGATGAAAATTATTTAAAGAGGCTAACTAAGTTTAACCCTATGATAACTAGAACTCTAAACTCATGGAAATAAAATAAACTCCTAAAGCAACTAAATATCAAATCATAGAATTACTA